AGTAAATGGATAGATTTATGCAGTAAGAGGGCAGCAGTTATAGTGATACCAGATAAGATAAACAGTAATACCAGATTTTAAAAAAAAGATTGTCTACTTTTTCCTTAAGAGAGAACGAGAGAGAGTGAGAGAGAAAGAGAATTTTAATATTTATTTTTTAGTATTTGGCAGACACATCTTTGTTTGTATGTGGTGCTGAGGATCGAACCCAGGCCACACGCATGCCAGGCGAGCGCGCTACCGCTTGAGCCACATCCCCAGCCCAAAAGTAGACAATCAAAACTAAAAACTTGATCTTTAAAAGCTAGTTAGGAAGGCAAACCACAGATCAGAAGAAAATATTGCAAAACATGTGAAAAAAGGATCCTCTATAGAATGTAAGGTATTCTTACAATCCCACAATAAAAGCATATGGAAAGGAACCAATTGGCTGATTTAAAAATGAACAAAAGAGGTGAGGTGAACAGACTTTTCACAAAAGAGTTCATGCTGAGGTACATTTCATACATGAAAGGTACTCAACATCATTAATATTGGTGGAATGCAAATTATAAACACAATGAGATACCATTAGACACTCAGTAGAACAGTTACAGTTAAGAGGACAGAGAACATCAAAGGAAAATAAGGATGTAGAGTAACACTCTCAATATGGTTAATGGGAATGAAATTTTATACACATATTTCATAAAACAGTACAGCAGTATCGCATGCTACTAAAAACACATGTCCCCTATGATACAACATCCCCTTATTTGCCACCCCTGACCTGCATGGGCAGCTGAACTTAAGGTCCTTCGTGTGAAATTGCAGGGACACCAGATAAAACACAGACACAATTTACCTTTACACAAGCTTCAGGATGGCTTCTCCACTCTCGGCCTCAGGCTCCCCAAAAGGGAGAGCAAGAGAAAGTCACAAGAGGCTGGCGAGAGGGAGCAAGCATTTTCGGAAGTGGGCTTTTATTGGGGGGAACTCTTGTTCTTTACAAAGTTCTATCCAAAAAAGGCCAGAAGGGGCATGGTTACAAAGGTCAGATGAGTGTAACTCAACCCCAGGGGCAACGCCTACATCTGAAGTCCTGCCTTTGCTATCTCAACTGGGACAACACCCAAGTCACCACACAGGTGGTGATTGGTCAGAGCCTCTTGCTTCAGGACTGGAAGGCGTGGGTCATTCAGAGTGGCTCCTCACACTTACTTACCTAAGAGAAATAAAAATCTAAAGACACATAAAGACTTGTCCACAAATGTTATCAATATCACTATTTATATCAGCTAAAAACTGAAAATACAATTCAAGTGTCCATAACTGGTGAATACATAACTATGATAGTCATACTATAGATAACTGTGCAGTAATAAAAAAGAACAAAATATCAATATAGTAACACATTTGAATCTCAAAAATATTATACCACACAAGATCAAACACAAAAGACTACTCATTGTATGATTCCATTTACATACAAATCTAAGAGAGACAAACCACAGTGACAGAAATTATACTAGCCGTGCCTAGACCTGGAGTTACAGGAAGCCATCAAGGACATGAGAAAATTACTGAGAGTGAAGAAACTCTTCCATCCCGAATGAGGTGGTAGTTACATGGAGTTACACAGCTGGGTATAAATGCTAAATCCATCAAACTGCAACTTGAAAATTAATAAGTTAAAGGAGAAAGATACTTGTAATTTTCATTAGACAAAGTTTAAAGAGCTTTTAGAAAATAAAGAGGGAAAAAACTAATAATCCAACTAGAAAATGAGCAAAAGAAATGAAAACTTCATTTACAAAAATGAACGATCAATTGGTTCTTACATAAATTTTAACATTTAAACTGATATGAGAAACGCAAATGTTAAATTATGCTGAGAAAGCATTTTTCATAGATAGGACTGCCAAAATTCCAAAAGCTTGGTAATGCTGTCCTATGAAGGGTACATGGAAACAGTCTCACACATTGCTGAAAGATAAGTAGGATAGCCCTTATAGAAAACAACTTGGTGAAATTACAAATACATTAACCATTCCACCAAGAGCAATTTCACTTTGATAAATTTATATTATGAACTTGCACACATATAAAATATACAAAAGTTAATCTACACAGCAAAGTTTTTAATAAAAGACTATAAATAACTCAAATGACTATCATAATAGAAAAAATAAATTATTAAAAAGTAAAATATTATAGACCTATAAAATATAAGAGCTCATTATACAATAATTTGAAAACAGATAAAAAACACATTGTCAAATAAAAAAAGCAACAACAACAAAAAAGAACAGTGAGTATGGTATAGCATATTCTATATAAATAAGGGAAGATAAGACTTTATGTAATTATTTCTGTATAAGCATATAGAAACTGGAAAGATAAAGCTAGTAAGAATGATCACTTGCAAGAGTGAAGATGATAGGAAAAAGAATGCATTTTAATTTTTTGACAATGTAAATAGAAAGAATTTGATAAATTCATTGAAATCAGTTCAATGTGAAAATGTTTAAGAGAATGAGTAGACATCTTAAAATGATATGCAAAGACAGGTCACAAAACTAAAAGACAGTATTTACAATTCTAAAACCAAAAGGATTTGTGTCAAAAACATAAAAAGGGGCTGGAAGTGTGGCTCTGTGATAGAGCCCTTGTGTGGCACCCATGAGGCCCAGGGTTCTATCCCCTGCACTGTACACACACAAATCAATCTGTGTGTCTACCTATCGGGCTCTTAAAGTCAGTAATTGAAAGACAAATAATCCAAAAGTAAAGAGGAAATGAGCAAAAGATTCACATCTATTTCACTGAGGGTGACAAAACAGTAAGTAAACATGAGATAATGCTAAACTCTATCAGGAGAGAGCAAAGTAAAACATTTATCAGGTATACTCTCTCAACCAGACTGGCAAAAACTCAAGTCTATAATTTGAGCTGTTGGTAAGTGTCTAGGTCAGAGGTCAGTCAACTACAGTCTTTGAGAGCCTCCAGTTTTAAAATAAGTTTTCTGGGATCACAGTCAAACATACACTCTCTAGCTGCTTCTAGCTGCAAACCAGAAGTGAATAGCTGTAACAGAATCCTAAAACGTTTCCTATTGGGCACCTTAAGAACAAGTTTGCCAATTCCTGATATAGATCGATGCTAACTCCTGCAGACTGTTAGGGGATGTAAACTAGGAAAAGCACTTTGTAAAAGCGTCTGACCCTGTCTACTGAAGCTGAATATGTAACACATAAACGCAATATTCTCTAACACTGAATGTATCAGAAAAAATAGAGAAAGCAACAAACACCCATTGACAAGAGAATCATAAATTGTCCTATATTTAAACATTAGTGCAAGGCAATAAAAATGAGAGCACTACGCACAACATTATAAGCTCTTAAAACGCATTACTACTACTACTAAAGTTATAGAAGAATAATAAGTCCAGTGAAACTCCATTTGTATGAAGTTCAGAAACAGACAAACCATGTATTCTTTTCAGAATATACAGTACAACTATGAAGAAAAGGCATCAACTGGTAAACACAAAATGCAAAATTGTATCTTTTGCTGGTAGGAAGGAAGCTGGAAAGATGAATAGGGGGTGCTGTACAGACATTGGCTCTGACTTACCCTCTCAGACAAGTGATCATGTTTATTAATGCTATTCTCTATGTCTACATACACAGATGAATGTATTCTTCTATGTATTTGATGGTTAATAACTTTCAAAGCTCTACCAAAGAAATTAATAATGAAGACATCATGTTGCAAAGTATTGGTTTTCCCCCATTTAATTTCCATAATTATATTCCAGTAAGAAAAAAATATTTAGTACTCTCCTAAATATACTCCCTCAGCAGTACCATGCAACTTCAAAATGTGATACAAATAAAAGGCATCTTAAGAAAATGTTATGCAAATGTAAAGGATAATCTAAAGATTATATTTATAAAGAGTTGAGATAGGCAATCACTGGATGTAAATTTGATCATGATCCTTTATCAAATTCACTTTCCAATGCAAGGTAAAGGGAACAAATATAGAAAAAAAATTAAAATTATTATTAAATTGTCTTCTATTAGAATTGTATGCATTCAGTTCCATTCTTAAAATGCAGCTCACTTAAAAAATGTGAAAATGTATTTTATTTTTATCCCCTGCCATTTTCCTGAAAGAATTTAAAGAGATAGAAATAAATGCTTCCTCCTTTGATAGGGGATTAAAGACAAAATCATGAGAAAAGTGAGGAATAAAAAAAAAAATTTAAAGTCATGGTGAAGGCTAATACATCAAGGTAAAACCATAAGGAGGTTTTACACAAGTTGTTTACTGGCTGATATCTGCAATCGACTATAGAAAAGATGAAAACATACAGTTAAAAGTCTTGTACTATCTGCTCAAGGATGATTTTCAACTTTTTTTTTTTTAAATGAGAACATGTCATTTTTTTTTTAAAGAGAGAGTGAGAGTGAGAGGGAGAGAGAGAGAGGGAGAGAGAGAGAATTTTTTTTTAACATTTATTGTTTAGTTTTCAGCGGACACCACATCTTTGTTTGTATGTAGTGCTGAGGATCAAACCCGGGCCGCACGCATGCCAGGCGAGTACGCTACAGCTTGAGCCACATCCCCAGCCCCTATGTCATTTTTTTTTTATAGTTTTATTTTGTTTATTTTTATGTGGTGCTGAGGATTGAACCCAGGGTTTCAAACCCAAGCCTCGAATCCAGGCCCTTGAACATGCTAGGCAAGCGCTGTACCACTGAGCCACAATCCCAGCCGTTCAATTTCTTTTGATATTGATTCTATAGAGAAGTATTCCTAAGAATCTTAAAAAGAATTTAAAATTAACTATCAAGCGACCAAAATATCTAGCAGATTAATAAAATTAATGATTTATTAGGGGACCAAAAACTGGAGGGAAATACCTGAAAATAATCTGCAGTAAGATTATTCAATGAAGTAATTAATGATACCACTTAATATTCAACATATTATTCATGAAATTTACTGACCTTCCTGAATTGCCATGTCCACAGTTATCGCAGAAGCTGAATGAAGAAGTTTTTGGTAATTCTGTGCATTCTGGTCAAACAACTGTACAAGAAGAGAGCACGTCTTTTCATATTCACATCTGCTGACAGTGCACAACTGCTCCAGCTGCTGAAACACAGTAGCAGTATCATCCAGTGGGTCATCTAAATGGTCTCTGTGAACACATAAGCATGTAGATAACATCAGAATGTATTTTTATTCACCACAAACTTTACATTAAATAAAACTATGATAGATAAAGAAACAAGAAGGGCTGGGGTTGTGACTCAGTGGTATGGTGCTCGCCTCACACAAGTGCGGCCCAGGGTTCGATCCTCAGCACCACATAAAAATAAATAAATAAAATGAAGGTATTGTGTCCAACTACAACTAAAAGTATTAAAAAAAGAAATAAAACAAATGGATTTGGAAAGCAAGAAATAAAATGTCTATATATCAAGATGACTTGATTATGCACACAGAAAAAGCCAAAGAAACCGCAAAAATGCTACCAAAATAGGTGAATTTACTAAGATCACATAGACTTCAATGTAAATTTTAAAACTAAAACTTCTAGAAGAAAAAAAGAAAATCTTTGTGATCTTGAGTAAGATAAAGATTCTCAATATAACACCAAACACATGATATAACACATAAGAAAGGATACACTGAACTTCATAAAAATGTAAAACTTCTGCTCCCCCAAAGACTTAAAATAAAAAGGAGAGAAAATATTCTCTGAAACACATGTATGATAAGACTTCTGAACAGAATAAATGGACCTCTCAAATTTCAGTAAGAAATAAATTACCCTGTTTTAAAAAAAAAAAAAAGAGCAACAGATATGAGATTTTATAGGCACTTTGCCAAAGAATACATACAGATGGTCACACACATAAAAAGATGCTCAACATTATTACTCATTAAGGAAATGCAAATTAAATCCACAAAGAGGTACTACTATACATCTTTTATACACTGCAGGTTAAGAATTCAAAATGCTGGGGCTGGGGTTGGTGGCTCAGTGGTACAGCACTTGCACAGCACGTGTGAGGCACTGGGTTCAATCCTCAGCACCACATAAAAACAAATAAATAAAATAAAGGTATTATGTCTATCTAAAACTGAGAAAGTATTTTTTTAAAAAAAGAATTCAAAATGTTAAAGCAACTTTGGAAAATAATTTAGTAGCTTTTTATAAAGTGAAATATACACTTAATGATGCCACTCTGGAATCTTACACCAAAGAAATGCAAACAGGAAAACAAAACATATCAGTTACTGCCAGAGAGGACTACAAAGGGTCCCCCTCCTGTCCACCCACCCCCAAAAAAAACAAACCTTTAGAGTTAATGGAACTATTCAGTATCTCAATTGTGATATTACTTATAAAAATAAATATTCTTATCAGAATTCACAGAACTTTACCCTAAAGAGAGTAAACTTTTAATTTAATTTAAAAAAACTCCAAGATGAAAATACAACAGAAACATTTAGTTTTTACTACCTCACAACTATGGCAACAGAGTCCAATCGAGACGTGATAAAGGCCTTTGTGATTTCAGGTGCGTAAGTGTCTAGTAAGTGGGGCTCAGTTGATTTCACAAAAGGAACTGATGCTACCATCCTCTGCCACAGAGTTAATAAATAATGAACACTGTTTGGAGCGAACTCCCAATGCTACAAAGAAACAGAGCAAAAGAAATTTAAAATAACTTAATACCTTTCTAGAATAACAGATACAACGCAAAATTACTTTTTAAATTAACTTTTATTCTGATTATATGACTAATGAATGCTTAATACAGCAAATTTCATAAATGCAAAAATGTTAAAGAACCCAATATCCCACAATATTATTCTGTTCAGAGATTATCACTATTAGAATGTTACAATACGTTTAAGTGTTAAACTATTTCCTCTTAACCATTCCATGAATATATTTTTTATAGTATTAACATCATATAGAAAATATGGTTTAGTAATTCCTAATCCAAATTTAAGAAAAGAATTCAACCACAATACAGTATGTAAAAAATTATTTTATAGAAGTTTATTACAGCTTCTAAGTTATTCTTCAGTTATTAGCCACTTTAAGTGATTTTTCAATTTTCTCTTATTAAAAATGTTATAATTATTTCTTTTACCTAAAACTTTGCAAAGACCATTTTCAGTAAAGTACTCCAAGTAACAAGTATTTAAAAAAAAAAAAAAACACCCCCACTAACCTTTATCAAGAAATTGTTCTAAAACTAAGTACAGCTTAACATCAATTATTTTTTTTTACTTACCTGTAGGCTAGTAATAGTAAAATTAGCAATCAATCTGATAACTTCAGGATACTCCTTGACCATAACTAACTCTCCCAGTTGATAATTTGTCTTTAAACGAGCCAAAAATCGACAAAATTCATGATAATTACCTGGATCAGACAAACCCTAAATTATGAGACAAAAAGTAAGTCTTTTAAAATAAAACAATCTATTGATAATAAAGCTACTAAATTTCAAAGAATTTTATTAAGTATTCTATTTGTTTTCAGAGGTACCTATGGTATCTTACATCAACTAGGTAGGCAATGTTAAGAAAACAAGTGATTCTTGCTAAATTTAATATTGCTGTCAATTATTCATAATAAGGAATCTAAAGTAGAATTTTTGGAAGAAGCTTTGCACAACAAAGACAAAAATATATCTGGGAACTTGTTACACAAAAACAGAGTGTGTGTATTATAGCCTAAACAGAAGTCAACAAAGGTCTTGAAAAGTATTTAAGATGAAGGGCTGAGAGAAAAATATTTAAGATGAAAAACAAGAATGAGCTCTTGAAACCCGAGAAGGGAGTACTAACACCAGACTTAAATTAAATAGTGTGTGTACACACAAGTAGACAATTTCTTTTTATGGAACACTTTCTGAATACAGGCATTGTATTTAAGTGTTAGTCATTCAAACAAATTACTGCCATGTAGGGAACCAAGTTTAACAATAAGACAGGACACACAGGTAACTTGTGAGGGAGAACAGGTTAAAAAGGAAAAGACCTTGAAAGTTCTCCCCAGTTGCTACAAGCTGCTTGAAAACAGAACACATCTCCATAGTTAACACCTGCTATCATCTCCACAGTTATCACTCTGTAGTCTCTGTAGCTAGCCTGATAGAGAATTCTATGCAGTGTGTTTAATACTCAACGAGTCTAAGAAATGTCATTCATAGGCACTCCATGAAAGAAGCAGGCCAGTGGTAGAGTGCCTTCCACAGCATGTATGAAGCTCTGAGTTCAATCCCCAGCACTGCAGGGGGGGTGGTGGGGGGAGTTTTGCTGGGCACAGTGACACACACCTATAAACCAAGCGGCTCCAGAGACTGAGGCAGGGTATCGTGAGTTCAAAGGCACCCTCAGCATCTTAGTGAGGCCTTAAAAATTTCAGCGAGACCCTATCTCTAAATTAAAAATATATTTTAAAAAAAGACTGGGGATGTGGCTCAGTGGTTAAGTGCCTCTAAGTTCAATCCCCAGTTAAAAAAAAAAAAAAAAACAAGAAAGGAAGAAAGAATGAATTTTAAAAGTGTCTAATTATTAAGTATGAATTCCAAAGAGACATTTTATAATCATAGTTTTTTTAATACATGTTTATAATTCTAAAACATATAATACTTAAGATCAGTTTTTACAGTGAAACACTGACATAGGGATGCTAAAAAAATCACTTAATAGAATTATCTAACATGGGTATAGTAATTTCCACAATTTTGGTTGATGACAAGAGAATTAAACAACTAAAAACTTTTAAATATGTTGGTAAAAATTCTACTTACCAGCTAAATAGATAAAATTCACAGCTACGCTAACATTGAAAAGATAAAATACATGTTTAACTCAAACATTCCTGAGAACAACTTGCAAAATAATCAATTTTGTGAGATAATCACATTTTATTTCTGTAGAAAAGTATTATCTGTGTCCCCACCAAAAGGATTAATAACCAAGAGGTTTAGGTAAACCTCTTTAAATTACCATTTAACCTTTTAAAAATCTGTAGTTTAATTACAGATATTTTAAACCAGAAAAAAAGTAAATAATGAAACAAAATATTTATCTAGGTATCCAAAATCACTAATTATGGCTTTGCAATTCTCTAAAATAGGTATTGCCACTGGATCTCTGAAGTTAATGTGGAATAGATAACTCATATTTGTCCACAAGAGGGCAAAAAGACATTATTTCATAATTTAAAACCTTTTATCCCAATATTAATACTTAAATTTATATTAAGTCCTCTAGTTCAGGTGGACATAACCCTGAATTATCACTTCAATAGTTTAACCAACGTGGACAAGGAAATGTAGCACAATGGTAAAAGACAGAAACATAATAAGATATATGACCTTTTTTCATATTCACCTAAAAAGAAAAAAATGGAGAGGAACACAGAAGTCTTCCATGGAAACATCCATTTTTAAAAAACTGCCCATTTCTACTACAAATGAGACCTAAGTAAGATGAATGTAATACTAAATATTTTCTTCCAGAATCATAATAAATTCATGATGAGTTTATTATCTGCCTTTGAGCAGAAATATTATTTCTATATGCTAAGTATTAATTAAATTACTTCATAAATACCTGAGGGTTTTCAAGTATCCTTTTCACTCCCTTAATTAAATTACCAAGGTACTTGGCACGTTCAGGACTGCTAAATAAGGACCTTCTTGTAGAAGCAAACTGAACTAAACACGCAAGTGCCTAAAAACAGAAACAAAAAATTCATTTCAATTTTAAAAGGAGCTATGACCACATATAAGCAAGACTTAATTTAAAATGTAATTAATTTTAATGCTAAAAGAGCATTATATAAAATAATAGCTGAGCATCATCATACCAACACTCACAATCTTTCTATCCCATCACTAAAATTTTTATTTGTATGTATTCTCAACTAATATGCTTTTCTATACCAAATTTGCCAGAGCAGGGCTTAAACATGCCTACATTAAGAAAACTCCCAATTGCTTATGATGCCCCCTCCACTGTGAGCCAATGAACCAGATGTTCTACCAAAGAGAAAATATGATCTTATGGTACAATATGTTAAATACCGTGAAATTATTCATTGTGATTCCTACAAAGGTGGGGGAAATCCCAAAAGTTTACTCAATCCAGAATATCCTAAATTTATTTAGTCATGGAATATTTTACATCATCCATTAGTATGTCTGGAAAATGCTAGAAGAGTTACTTACTTTCTAATGATATTTACTAAAAATTTTTTTTTTATTAAGTAAGGCCCCAAATTGGCAACTTTCAAGCCAAACTGGCCTATGGTTCCCCTGATTCACGTATTTGCTTGCCACTTTTTTTTTTTTAACCCATTAAGTCACAAGTTTTCGATTCTGTGAATGTTGCAATGAAACTGAAACAGGTGCATTAAAATGGGCTGGGAATCAAAATCCAGAGCTTAACTAAAATCAGTTGTCAATAAGTATTTTAATTTGAAATCTTCACATAAAATGTGTGGCTCTCTTGGCAAGGGTAAGAATAGGTAAAAAAATCCAAAAGATTGCCTTTTTAAAAGACATGCTTATTTGCCATTGCCTCTATCAGTTAAAAAAAAAAACACCCAAGTTTAAAAAAATACAAAAGCCAAAGAAACTTAAAAACCTCTTCATTCAGAACTCTGATATACAGACTTAGGAAACACTAATATATTAAAGGCAAAACACCCAGGGTTCCGGGACATGTAGAACTGTTTTGTTGTTTTGTACTGGAGGATTAACCTAGGGGCGCTTCACCACTAAGCACATTCCTAGCCTTTTTGTTTGTTTTTCATTTGAAACAGGATCTAAATTGTTTAGGGCCTTGCTAAATTGCTGAGACTGGCCTTGAACTTGTAATCCTCCTGTCTCAGCCTCTCAAACCACTGGGATTACAGATATGCCTAACCAAGCCAAGCAAGAACTGGGTTCTGATCTTAGTAACAATGTGGACTTACTTTGTTACCCTGGGGTGACTTCCCTTAGCCATTCTGGGTGTGCTTTGTTTTTCTGGTACACCTGGTGAGGACAGCATTAGGAACCCTGCAGAACCACTGTGATGATCAGGTCAAACAAGTACCACATCAGAGCATGCCAATAAACAGCAGTTACCATCTCAGGAAACAGATGTCATCTACTTTTTTAAATTGCCAGTACCTTTTTGTTTTAAAACATAATTACATGAAATCATGATTTTTAAACCACTATAAGCAAGGCTGCTCTGGTTGAAAGACAGAAGGCTGCGATACTGCCTGGAAACATGAATCCTCAGTGAAACCGAGTTTAAAAGCTACTTCACTACCTTGAACTCTAGATTCAAGGACAGACATGTTTTTTTGAAGTGTGGTGGTTTTGTGAATCCACTTCTCCTTTCTAAATAATAATATCTAAACAAGCATACCACTGGTACATGCTTTAAATCAGGAACATCTTTTTTCAGAGAATGGCAACATTATTTCTAGAAGCTTGAATATTAAACCTATAATTATTTTTTAACATTACCATATCTATTACAGATGCTGCAAAGATGGAACCCACAGTCTCAAAGTTCTATACAATAACAGAGTTTCAAGATTTTTTGAACATATAACAGAATTTGATTAAAAAACTTAACAAACAACAGTAGTCCTGAGCAAAAATAAAGTAAATAGATCCCTCTTTGTGCTTCATTCAGTGATGCTTGGTGGAGGCTGTCTGCCAAGCCCAGGCCCTGGAGGGCTGAGGGGTGTTAGAAAGTGGGGAAGGTCCTGGTAAGGGAGCTGATAGCTGGACTTCAAACCTATGGGAACTGACTAGTAAGAAAGGTATATTTACAAGTTGGTGTGTTGTTCTGGCTCTGGCAGGAGTAAAATCAACAGTTCCTGGTTCTGGCTCAACCATTAAATGGAATGGACTACTGACAAAATAAACAAAACCCAACAAAGAGCTCAAGTGATATGCACCTAGGATGACACAAGAACTACTGTGACAAGTCGACCCAATCAAACATATTAGCAGAGTTTTGTGGATAAATAAACTCCATCCCTTATGTTCATTAAAGATCACAGCTACTTTTCAATCAAGTAATGAATGAGTTTTACTTACTAACTGAGACAGCAGTGGTGGAAGTGAATGATACAAATTGAAGAAAAGATCCAATGTTTCTGGTTCTAGGAAAACTGAGAAAAAAATTGATTTCTGATATTATTACTTTCAATCCAGTGATCTTAACAAATAAAACAAAATCACACAAACTGAGGACAATGAGATCTTGGCCACTCTTTGCAGTTGAGCTATTTTAAATTCCTAGCTACTTTCGTCAGAAAACTGAGATAATAGAGATTAAAAACTAGTCAAGATGATATAGCATCTACAGTTCTAAGTAGGGCAATCTTCCTAACTAGTTTCATCTATATTAAAATAATATGAACACTGTTTAAAATTTCAAAAATTATCAATAAGCAAGCAGTACGAAAAAGTCTATAATATGAAAACAACTACATCTAGCCCCTTCCAACCACCTTTCAACATATTTACCTATACTTCTAAGTAATGCTGTACACTATTACTTCTTTTGGCTGTTTCACTTCAGATATAAGCTTTAGTATTACTCTGAGCCTAAGAGGCTGTAGCTGCTCAACCCCACCCTGCAACTCCACCTCCCCAATCTCCACAATCCACCCTCCCCTTCCATTACCAACCTGATTTGTGACTAAATCAACTTTGAAGTATTTACATTTATTATGACTACATAAAAAATATAAAAAACATTAACAGTCAGTCCTAGAAGTTTACTATATCACAATTACAATTCACTCTGTACTTAATCACAGCATTTTTCCTGTGTGTAGCTGTGTCACAAACTACAAATGCTCTCATTAGCAAGATGTTCTCCATGATGTTTTCCACATGGTCAAGAGCACCAAACATTCTCATTTCCACTCTCCCAGCCCTACCTCTCAGATGATCCCACAGAACTGGCTATTTCCTAACTTTGTCACACAACGGTCGCCTCCCTACATCTATTCATTCCATCGTGGGTTGAAGTCCCTGTTCCTGCATCCCCTTCTTCCACCTTCTTGGCTTACAAATCAAGTAGCTTCCTGACAGTAAGTACAGAGGGGATAAATTTGAGGAGGACTTGCATGTCTGAAGAGGTCTTTAATCTTGGTTATACTTGGTAATTTCCATCTAGTTGGAAAATAATTTTCCTGCAGAAGTCTGAATCTTCCAGTCTACAATGCTGCTATGGAGAAACTGAATATCCTTCTGGATCCCAATCCTTTGACTGACTTTTTTCTTTCTTGTACATTTTAGGAATTTTTCTTTATCCTCTGTATTCTAAAATGTCATAATTATGAAGCTTTGCACATACCCATTTTCACTCATGATGCTGGGTACTTGGTGAGACAGTTTAATCCAAAAACTCTTATGACCTGTAGTGCTGAGAACATTTTTGCAAATTTCCTCCTGTTTTCTCTGTCCTGTATTTTGGCCCTCCAAACCTTCAGATGCCAGGCCTAATTTTATCTTCTAGTTTTTTTTATATATATTTTTCTCCTTTCAAGCATCTTGCTTCCTTTGTTCTACCTTCTAAATTTCATTAACTATTCAGAACATTCTCTGAATTTCTACTTTTTAATAATATCCTGCTCTTGTTCCAGGAATGTATTATCTTTTGTCATCTCTTTAGGAATAGTGATTATACCTGTTAGAAGCTAACTTCTACTCTTCATCTTGTCTACTCTTCACCTTGTCTATTTCTATTTTTTTTTTAACTGAACTTTTTGAGATAATTCTAGATCCATATATAGTGGCAAAACCCAGTACAGACTGACCTCATATTTTACTCAATATTTCACAATAGCACAAGGGAATTAACCTGGATACAATTCACCAATCTTATTAAATTTCCCAGTTTTACATGTACTTGTTTGTGTACACCTGGATGTTTTTAGTCTGTGCACTTCTTTATTCTATGTGTTGGGTTCATGAATCCAATTACCACAGTCAAGATTCAGAACATTAAAACCCTTTTTATTGGTTTAGTCTCTGACTTCATACTAGAAGTTCTCAAAAACCCATGCTGCTTGTTATGGCTTGAATCTGCAATGTTCCCCAAAAGGCTCATGTACTCAAAGGCATGGTCCCTAATGCAGCCATGTCCAGAGGTGAGATTTTTCAGGAAATGATTGGATCAGGAAGGTTCTAACCTCATTAATCCAAATGATGGATTAATGATTTGAAAGGATTATTGGAAGGCAGGGACCAAGTTACAGACAGTAGGTCTGGCGGGGGGCGGGGGGTTCTAGAAGGGTTTCATTGGGTGTGCTCCAGAAGGGTTTATCTTATCCCAGTCCCCTTCCTTCTTCTGTGTGTGTGTATGTGTCTATCTCCCCCTCCCCTCCACCTTCATAGCTGCTAAGAGTGAGCATCTTTCCTTTACCACACCCTTCTGCCAGGATGTTTCTGCCTTGGGGCCAGATGACCATGAACTGAAACACCCCCTAAATTGTTTATATCAGGTATTTTGGTCACAGTGACAAAAAAAACTAACAGCGTTCCTCAACTATATCAGGTATTCCTGATTCTGATATATGCTCTAGTTCAATTTTCTCAGAAAAAAAGCTTGGTCTTGTGAAGCAAGGAAACAGTGCAGATGAGGGAGGGAGGGAAAGGCAGTCACCTAGCTGCACAAGTGGCAGAGAAGAGACTATTCAGAATACAGTCTTTTAACCAAGCCCTTGAAGCCTCCTTCCCTCCCTGACTTCAGGGGTAACCTAAATATCACCTTTTTTTCTGGAATGAAATCATCTTGTTATTTTTTTGTACTGGAGGATTAACCTAGGGGCACTTCACCACTAAGCACATTCCTAGAACAGAGTAAGTTGCAACTCTGCTCTGCTAAGTCACTTACTCTAACTCATTCTCTTTATTGCTCTGGAAAATATGTTGACATCTCTTGTCTACTATTAGATCCTTTCCCATTCTGTTCATATGAAAGTTTCCAAACAGAGCTCTTGATTTTTTTTTCTTCCCAAAACTGTTTTCCATCTATCTCTAGAGCTGTCTTCTTTTTTTTTTTTTTCCAAAATCAAAATATGGTAGTTACTATAATACATCAGGGGAAACATTTTGAAATTGGGTATCAGTAAACACTTCAGGTAGCAAATTCTTTTGGGTTGCAAAGCACTTTTCTGATTGCCTAGCCTAAAACTAAGACAACACACCCCAGGCAAATATATTGTTTCCTTCTGCATCATTAGGTTGACCACCCCTCATGCTCTTTATTCTTACTTGTTCTCCAGGTTGTTGGAATCTGTACTGTGCAAAGATCATCTGCAGACTCATCTGCTGAACTGCCAATGAAGTCAAAGTTGAGGCAGTTGAGGACCAGTTTCAAGACCTGCATCACCAGATTCTGTTGAAATTGATCTTGAAGATTTAAAGGTTTGGCCAATACCTGAAAAAACGTTAAAAACAAAACACTATGAGCTGGGTGCAATGGTGCACACCTGTAATCCCAGTGGCTTTGGGAGGCTGAGGCAGGAGGATCAAGCCAGGCTTAGCAACCTAGCAAGGCACTAAGCAACTCATTGAGACCCTGTTTCTAAATAAAATACAAAATAGGGTTGAGGATGTGGCTCAGTAGTTCAGTGCTCCTGGGTTCAATCCCCAGTACCAAAAAAATCCATTATGAACACATCAATAAATTTTAACTTTATGAATTTAAATAATTCTTTAATGCCAAATGGAAATTATTTAAAAATTAACAAAATTATATTACTGCAAATATTAGGGGAGAAAAGTAAAATCACTATCAAATTTCTATGATAGACTACATTCAAATTTAATTTTGTGAGATAAGAATAAAAACATTTATACCTGATGCCATGCTGCAGGTCATCATCTATAGTTATAAGGCAGCACTAAGAAAAATACTCTCCACAGTACAACTGCATAAATATATACATAATTATTACCTTAAAGGTGGTTTTGAACAAGCCAAAGATTAAATGTTCTTCAAGAAACACTAGGACTAACTTCAATTATAACAGAGATACAATGGGTTAACAAAAGCTGTCAGAACTGTGGTTATGGGAGGACACTCACAAGCTCTGGAGAGCAATCCTGACACCAAAAACAATGCCCATTCTGACATATCAACAGACTATACCATTCTAGAGTTGCCCCATGAAACATCTGCAGAAGCAATGATGTGAAGTTTGGGATTCTCCAAGAATAATAACAAAAAAGAACTAAAGTGAGCAGGTAGAGATTGCAGAGATGAAACAAGATTAGCTGCAAGCTATTACTGTTTAACTGAAGGGTTGTTGAGTGGCAATTATGTCTACTTTTGTATATGTTACATGTTGTATCTACCTACTTTTGCATATATTTTTCCATACTAAAAGAAATTGTTTAAGACAATAAGGTCTTTTAGTCTGACCTAGTAGGGTACTTATCATGTTACTGTCAAGGTAAACATTCCCTAATCCAAAAACTTGAAATACAAAATGCCCTGTAATATAAAAACTTTTGGAGCATCTACATGACAATCAAAATGATTTGGATTTTTGTGAATTTCAGGTTTTGGGTTTCTGGATTGGTGATACTTAATAAAGTCTATGCAAAAATACAAATCTGAAACATTTCTGATTCTAAGTAGGGTAACAGGTACTCAGCTGGAACCATAGAACTGACATAAGGAGAAACTAGTTCTTATAGGAAGTGCTGTACTATGAGAAATAACAAGCTTGAGTGACACAATGGATTCCCTATGTTGATAAAGAGAACACAATGAAGTTATGAATCACAATATCACTAATGTTCAATAGGGCACTAAGTAAAAAATGGGAATTCCTATTTCCCTAAGAAATTGTTAAACTTAGCTAGTTATCTTAGCTAATCTAAGAAAATTTTTGGTGTTTAATGAATCAAACTTAATTATTTCATTTTTCACCTACATCCTATCAAAACATGGGCAGATAAAGAAATCAAGACTCAATTTAGATTCTTCAGTTAAGAACCTACAAGAGAAAGACAAACTACTACCTAAAGTTACTAAATTTCCTTTAGATTTTATTTTACATACCCAGGAGTAAAAGCCAATTTTTTGGAACCCCTTAGAGATTTGTACAAATATATCATACTTACATTAAGACAGTACACAATAATTCTTTTAAAGGCAGAACTGGGGGCAGAGGGAATCCACTTGAAATCCTTTTGAAACTGTTAAAATTTCCTAAATAACTAGAAAATTGAATAACTAAATAACTTACCTCTTTTAGAAGAGAACACGCTAGCACTAATATGTCTTTGAGAGAAGTGTCACGAAATGAAGTAGCTATTTTCCTGTGTTTTGCTGAAGGTCTAGAATAATCAACCTTAAAAAAAAAACGAAAAGAAAAATTAGTTTAACCAGACCTACCCCTCTCAAATACAAAAAAAAAAAAAACAGCAAAAATATACTCAGATAGAAATAGGGATTAAAGAATCATAAACCAGGATAAATGGTTTTACTCAAGAAGTTGGTTTCTGGACTCTTTTCATTCAGTGCTCTTCTGACAAACCACATGATCTAGAAATTAAAAGGCAGAGCTGATCACACTTTCAGAGGCAACATAAACACTGACTGTAAAATACTAGACCCAAGACCATCAGCTCCTAAACCAGGCACTACATTTCACATCATGCAAACAACTTCCCTGTCCCTTAGATGCCACCTGCAAGGTGAGAAGTCTCTGAGCTCATCTTCAAACCCTAGCACTCTGTAGATCAGCCACTAGATGAGAACAGAAAAATTCTTCTGTATGAAAGTGGTATTTTCATATATACCACATGTCATTGGTTCATGCACTGGTGTTGTGAATAACATGTCATTGGTATTCTGAAAACCACTAAAAGAGGATACTATGAACAAGAATCTGATTTATAAGGTAAGCAATACAATTCCTCTAAATATTTTGTTAGCTAATGGCATATAATTTTTAGGACTAAATAACTAGAATTAGCTCTTGAGTCTCTAATCTAAAATATAGTATGTCCAAACTACACTATTAATACTAGCAATTTTTCCATTTACCCATAGGGAAAAGCAAACAAAATTGAGGTCTGATGCCCAAATGATTATCAGCATCAAGGTCTAGAGCTGCTACAGCATTATTATTTATTCCTTTTGTTATTTGGATGAAGAAAGTAAACCATTTTCCTTGCTAATGTTTACAGATTTGCAAAAAGCAGTAAGCTAAAAATTGATTATCTGACACTTCCTAATCTCCAACATATGATTTAGACTACACTTGTACTTATAAAACATGAAGCATACTAGAAGTCTGAAGTGATTACAGAAAGTAGTTACCAGAATCTGTATCCAATATCTAAGATTTGAGTTACATTTACAGTGTTCCTACCTTAATTAAAACTTCAAAATATCTCCTACAATGCTTTTCTTTAATACAAATAAGAGTATGTGGCATTACGGTTTCAATTTATAAAGTATTCTTCACATATTATTTCACTTTATCTTCAAAACTACGTATTATTCTTAGAATTGAGAAAATTGGAGTTTATAGCATATTATCTTAGCCTAGTCTCTGAATGACCACCACACCCACAGCATGGAGAAAGGAAATGAAGGGTTATATATATATAAGTTTTAGGTGGACACATTCACAATATCTTTATTTTATGTTTATGTGGTGCTGAGGATTGAACCCAGTGCCTCATGCTTGCTTGGCAAGCGTTCTACCACTGAGCCACACCCCAGCCCTGAGGAAAGGTTTGCTGAGGGCATCTGTAAACTGGGAGCCACACTGTTGTTCACGAAATCCACCTCATAAGGAATGCCAGTCTCAATTTTCAATTCAAGAGAATGATATACAGACTTAAGAAGTTTGTACAAAGGAGTCAGCAACAGAGCTAAAATATAAATCCATGACTTATCCAGCATCTTCTTCGAGGCTTGTGTGATAACTATTTTATTTGGGCTATTCATTTAGACACTGAATGCTTTGAGATGTGGCATGCACAGACACTTCCTACTGCACACCTCTGTCTCCACCCTGCAGGCACTGAATGAACTTACAAGGCATACATCTGACAACTCTAACATTGGATTTTCCTCATGTACTGAAGATCATCCCCAGACTGCCTCGTTTAGGAATGCTTAATAAATGCTAGTTGAATCTCAAAATGCCATAAAATTAGGCCAAGTCAAATATCTCCACAGAAGCCATATTCTTCCATGATATGAAGCCAAAGATCACACTTCAGACCTTGGAGCTCTTCTTCAAAGGAACTTGGTTCTGTGGAAGATGAGCCTGGAACCTTCTGTGCCAGAAGGAAGAAAAGCATTCAAAGAATGTGACAAATGCTCACTGGACAAAAATGCCAGCCTGAAAGGTCTCTTATGGACAAATTTTGGAAAAGCTTGAAAATCAAAATAATGTTAGTAATGAATTGTAGCCTATTAAATAAACTTGTAAACCAATCAGTAAATTTTCAGTCTGATGAGGAATATGATATTTTCAATGCCTTAAATTGCCTCTCCAAAAATTTTTTGATTACAACAGAAAAAAAGAATGAATCTACAAGAGACCATCTTAATTAAGAGATCAATATTGGCTGGGTCCAGGGACTATGCCTACAATCCCAGCTACTTGTAGGACTGAGCTAGGAGGGTCACCAGTCTTAGGCACAAACAACTTAGCAAGAGCCTGTCTCAAAATAAAACCAAAAACGGGACTGGGATATAGCTCAGTGGTAGAATGCTTGCCTCATGTGCAAGGCCCTGGATTCAATCCCCAGCATGGGGGGGGGGGGGGGATAACTAGTCTGTAAACTTCACAAGTGTCAAGATCATAAAAGTGAAGGAATGACTGAGTTTTTTCCAGATTGAAGGTGACTAGCAGAACATGAGAAAAAAAATACAATGCATGATAAAGTACATTTTGGGGATAACTGGTGAAACTTGAATAGGCTATGAGAATTAGATAACAGTAATATATCAGTGTTGACCTGCTTAAATTTTAATGATGGTATCATCGTGTAGGAAATACACTAAAGTATTCCCTGGGGGTGGGGTATCATGTCAGCAATTCAGCATCAAATGGTCAAGAAAAACTTCTGTGAACTCAGAACTTTTCTGTAAGTTTATTTAAAAAAAAAAACTACTTGGTTGATCCCTGAATAATACTTTTATTACAACTCCACATTATCTAGTCTTAGTTCAGTAACACACTAAACACAACCCTCATTGCCAGAGCAGCATATATTCCTATCTTTGCTGTGATGTAGGAAATCAATGAAACTGCAAGTTTCATGATTAGTAAAATGTGCAGAAGCTGGATGGTGGGTATGAGGGGTTATTATATTTGTCTCTTTACTCTTTACCTATGAGGTTAAACTTGCATACTAAAACTATGGACCATCTCTGCCAATGTGTTATTATTACTAGTGCTGGAGGGAGCGAGGGAGGGGAGGGAGAAGGGCAGAGAGATATATACAGACAAATAGCAAAGATATCTTCACATAACTGGGGTGGAGAAGTCAGGGAGATGACAGCCATGGTAAACAGAGATCACTTTAAATTTTAGAAATTCTTCCTTTTAAATAAAAAAAAAAACCAAATCTGATTGAACATAAATAGAAAAATAATTATTTTATTTAAAAAAATATATATATATGGCTATACTGACTCCAAAGGGAGGTGGCAAGTGGCCCTGAGGATACAAGTTCTCCTTGCACACATACACATAACACACACCACAGAGGAGGGCAGTTTTTAAATTTAAACTCCATAACTCCCTTTATTATAAAATTATCCCGTGCAGAACCTAATTTCTGCTTTTGTCCCGTTTTGAAGCACACTATGCACAAAATTGAACAGGAGCGGGTGACAATGTACTCAACTGCTGAGCTCATAAAAATCACAATTGGGGGGAGGGAGAGCTTCCTTGTATAGAGTGAAAATTCCAGCTAGAAAGTGGCCTGTTTCAGGATGAGTCCTGCTGGGTATCCTGCTGAAAATCAATTCACCAAATCACTTGTCTTTTATTTGTAAATGAGTAAAGTTTTGTTTCTCTTTGTGCATATAATTTATTTCTTACAGTTAACATATTACTATAAATGCAGAAGATAAAGCAATAATTCTCCAAGTGTTCATGGAGCAAGGACCATGTCTAACTCTCTGCTCTTCGTAGTACATTCCACTATTGCTGATATTCCACTACTTAATTATCCCACCAATAAAACAGACATACACAAAAAGACTTTGCTTAGTCAGAGTTTTTATGTCACAAAAAAATGACTCTACATATGGCCACAAAGAAATAGCAGTACTTAAGCAAACTTTACGTTCCCATTAGATGGAAAGGCTTACCAGGTTCATTTCCTGAGTCAATTCAGAGAGGATTATTACTCCTATTATGCAGTGCTCCACAGTACCCTTTGGAGAAAATAACCAAGTTTAGCCTACATGGAGACATGTGATTGGTTAGTTCTTACAGTGTAAACTGGGTAACAGTTACAAAATACTAAATACCAAAACATCACACTTACTTAATAACACATATATTAAAACATGTAGAAAAGTCACTGAGTTCTACAAATAAAAGGATTTCAAGCTCATTTTTTGAAAGATAAATTTCAGTACCCAGAGTTGAAAGGGAAAATGTTCACCTACCTTAGAGCTATATAATATCCTACAAAATATTTCTGGCACCTGAGACTTACCATAAACTAAGCTTCAAATTATGAGTTTTGTTTAAAATTTTTTATAAGACTATAAATAAGTCTGAGCAAAAAAAAAATGCTCTTTAGCTCTATAAATTTACTTTGACACATACTGTGCAAAATTGATTTTATATACATATTATTAACAAATTACCCTACTCAAAAAATCACAGTGGAAATATGAAAATAGTAAGTATAACTTTGAATTACAGTGCAATCATACTAAAACATTAACAGATGGTACATTTTTCAATTTTTTTAATGCTTTTATTTATTTATTTTTATGTGGTGCTAAGGATTGAGCCCAGGGCCTTGCACATGCTAGGTGAGTGCTCTACTGCAGAGCCACAACCCCAGCCCCCATGTTTCAAATCTTTTTTTTTTTATTATTATTTTTTAGTTGTAGTTGGACACAATACCTTTGTTTTTTGTTGTTGTTGTTGTGTTTTTAATGTGGTGCTGAGGATCGAACCCAGGGCCCCGTGCTTGCTAGGTGAGCGAACTACCACTGAACCACAATGCCAGCCCCATGTTTCAAATCTTAATGCTGTAGTTGGTCATGCCTTCTAACTCTCACAGAATTCTAATAATAATGCTCACTAGTGTAATGAAGTTCAGATTACCTCATAATAACAACAAAACGAACAAAAGAAACACCCCTGAATTCTTCAAGGCCTGATGAGGGTGCCTGATGGAGCCCCTAATTTCCCATTTCCTGAGGCATTCCTTCCCTGTATACAGACTTGATGTTTCTCAAAATGTGGCTCCCTCGCCAATTGCTGGCCCAGTTGCAAATTCAACTCTAACATGAAAATGGCTTGGTACTGGTCTAAAACAAAATAAGAGCATGTACCAGAATAGAACACAGGTAAGTAACTAGATACTGTTCAGTTAAGCTGGCTTTTTTTTCTTTTTTTTCTTGGGGCGGGGGGCGAGTCTCTCTTGATGAGAGAAACACAAAATTCATTTATGGTTTGACATAAACTCCTTGTTGCAGAGCAGCAACCTGAACAGCAACCTGCTGCCGTAGGTGACAACTCTTGGATACACATGTAGAAAGGAGGCACATACACATGCTGGGAGTGTGGCAGCAATGGGGCTGCAACACTAGAGAAAGTGGGTGCCCAGAGGTCAGAACATTACAGTTCTAACAAACTTATAATTTTCAGAACAAAATTCCCACAAGATGCTAACACCTAAATGAACCTTGTGGTACTATTTTTAGAGTACTAAAACAATAAATCGTCTTTCCCATGACTCAAGGCTAGGTCAAGTCATATACCCCAAAACAGTGCTAAATATTCTTTTATGGTATTATAATAAACTTTCAAGATAAAACATTTTGTTTCTTCTGGTCTCCCAAAATTGACAAAGGTACATGCTAAAGCCCAACTTAAAGCTGAACTTACCAGATGCTGAAAAGGGAGTCTGAGAAATGCTAGCCAACAAAAATTATTTCATTTCAGTTGGTTTTCAACTTCAGCTTTATTTTATAAGAACTCCACATCTATTTTTGTCTACTGTCATGACTATTACCAGTCTTAGTAAATGGCAAGAGAAGGACACTACAGTACTACTCCAAATTACAAACACAACTCTGAAGTAAGAAGCTCTGTCTCTGAATAAAATCTCCTCCTGTGCCAGTGCATGCTGCTCTCCTCAGGGATAAGAATGTGCTTAACTCCTGTCAAGTTCCAGATGATCAAATACTTGTTCACAGGGGTCTTAACAACGTGAATAAAAGAGAAGCTATGGGGGCCAGTATTTTAGTCTGAATTTGCAGTACTGCACTATGATGGGGTTACATCTAACACAGGGGGTGACTTTCAAAATTATTCAATGAGAAGGAAAATCCCAGAAAGTCAAAACTGCCCCTAATCGCTAATAAACCTGTGCTGAACCATCCCTCCATCAAAACTGCCAAATAGCCAGGCACAGTGGCGCATGCCTTGATCCTAGCAGCTCTGGAGGCTGAGGCAGGAGTACTGAAAGTTCAAAGCCAGCCTTAGCAAAAGTGAGGTGCTAAGCAACTCAGTGAGATGCTGTCTCTAAATAAAACACAGAATAGGACTGGGGATAGGGCTCAGTGGTCAAGTGCCCGGAGTTCAATCCCTGGTACCAAAAAACAAAAACAAAAAACCTGACAAATATTCCTCAAGAACCACAACACATCACTGTTTTTTCAGATGACACCAGAGCTAAGGTAATTTTCTTTTAGGTAGGAATGTTTGTATGGAAAAAAAAAAACATTTTTTCTTCTTTAAATATCCGAATCATCTTAAGAAAGAAGCATAAGAAACCAAGAGCAGATTCAGAATTCCTACAGCATCCTGGTACAGGTAATCACTGTAGATTCTCTTGATTTTCCTTTTCCCAGTCCAAATATCTGAATTTATGTAAATTAAGCAATAACATACACTATGTCTTTAATAATTTAGGTTTAAAATATTCTTGACAAAATGAAGAGTTAATGTAGTATAGTATAAAATAAAAAAGTAAATGGTCAGAACACTTGTTGAAGTGCTAGTTACACACTTTACTAAATAATTATGTGATCTTATATAAATCATTTAACCTTTCTAAGCCCCAGTTTTCTCATTTAGAAAATGAAACCCATTGCCCAGGGTTGTAATGAGAATTAGATTAGATCATATATGATCTAATGATCATATATGAAAGCCATTATATCCATGGTTTGTATATATGCAATATATATGTCATAAATGAAAGAACATACATTTTTGCAATTAGAAAACATAACTATTTATGTTCTCCTGGTATGAAAATTATGTAAGCATGAATTTTATTGACAAAAACAACAAAGGACCCAAGGATAAGTAATGATAATTAATATGATGTAATGCTGGTAGCCACAAGCCAAACCATAAAGCTTGAAGAAAAGCAGAATTCTAAACCAAAAAAGGCAAGTAATGGTGTTAAAGTAAGGTAATACTGACTTCTTACCTGAAGAAACTTCTTCACATCAGCAATAATTTCTCTGAAGACAAACTGGTCTTTCTGAACCTCAAACCACCCCAACTTAGTGATTTTAGCAATTACTTGAATAAGAGCTTGGATGACAAAGGGAGCCAGCTTAGGTTGTGATGCCACATAATTCAGAATGTAGTTTCCTACAAAGAAAATATTCTATGATCATTTGGACTTTTTGAGAAACATAAAGGGAATCATGTGAGGACAAAGAGGAGGCAATGAAAGGTCTTTCAGAGAGATCTCTTCCCATTCCTTGATATGTGTCCTTATTTACCTTCCATAAAGTTTGGTTCAAAAAAGCAAATTTGTTCCACTGCATTTATTTATCAGGGGATAACCGGAGCAAGATACGAACATCACTTTTGTTTCTAAATGATTCTATCTACTAAAAATGCTGGGTAAATGCAGAAAACTGTGACCAGGCCAAATGGACCGAGCTCTCCGTGACATGTGTATGCCTGCATCTGCTAGCCACCTCAGGGCGCCTCACATGTGAGCGGCCACACCCGGCCTCATCTGGTGGTAGGATTTTCCATTCTGTATCAGATAATCTCCTTTCCATCACTTCATAGACACACAAAAGCTGCAAATCTTAGGAAGGGTTGTACGAACTTCAAATCTTTTCATTTCAAGTCAGAGTGCCACACTGTCTATACTGGTTAGGTATTCCTTAACTACTTCACATGTAAAATTCTACAACCCTTTTGTTAAACTTCTATCTTTTCTCTCTGTCATTGACAAAAGTTTTTTGTTTGTTTGTTTGTTTAGTTGTAGTTAAGAAAATTATCTTTATTTTTTTTTTATGTGGTACTGAGGAATGAACCCAGGGTCTTGCACATGCTAGGCAAGCACTCTACCGCTGAGTCACAATCCCAGCCCACTGACAAAGTTTTTGAATTGTGTTGTCATAATTTTATTTTTCTCATAAACCCTAAGGTTTTTATTATATAACACTGCATCATAAATCTCTTTTAGAACACAAGTCTACACAAAAACTTGTATGTAAATGTTCATAGAAGAATTATTTATGTTGGCCAAAAAGGCAAACAACCCAAAGGTTCATCAGCTAGTGAAGGGATAACAAAATGTGGTCTACACAAGAAAATATTACTCTACAATAAAAAAGGAATGAAATATTGATACATGCTACAACAAGGCTGGAATGCAAAACACTTTGCTAAGTGAAAAAGCCAACTACAAAAGAGGACATAATGTATGATTTTATTTCTAGACAATGTCCACAAAAAGTTAATCTGTAGAGGGAGAAAGCACATCACAGGTTTGTGGTACAGAGCACGTGACTGTAAATGAATATAAGGGTGATGAAATATTCTAACCAAGTTGTGATAATGTTCAAACAACTGTAAATTGACTAAAAGTCACTAACTGTACCCTTAAAATAAGTCAACTCTGTGGTATATCATACCTAATTAAAGCTATCTGAAAGAAATGGAGGAAGAGGAAAGGAGAAGGGACAGAGGGATGAAGGATTGGTTTATATAAGCAACCAAACCTAAGCTACACTTTCATTCGAAAGAAGGTGGGAAAAACAGCATTCAATCTAGGGAAAGAACATTTAAGAAAGGCACCAAGGCAGAAACAACCTGGCCTGGGGGAGTCCTTCACACACAATTAACAGGTTAGTACCAAAGAAGCTACAAGGCTGCCTCCACAAGAATGGGTCTTCAATGACAAGCTCATGAACCTTCAAATGGCACTTCACTGATAACCAACCATTAGCCATTGTTAACTACACTAAGAAGGTAAAAAATAGTGTAATAGACACAGAGGATCTGGCACTGAGTTCATGATTGGAAACAATGAGATATGTAAAGTGGTACCATATAATGAAGGACTAAGGATTTTGAAGCTGGCATGATAAAAGCAATTTGACTGTTAAGGCTTCTAAACATTTTCCACTTTACTTTTACATGTCAATTATTATGATACATGTCAGATCTATTATATCATGACCAATCTTCTAATCTACTTGCAGAAATAAGAGTGGCAAATCAAAATAAAGAAATAAAAGAAATCCATCATTTCTTGTTGTCCTGAAATTGTCTTGTGTGTTTCTGGTTTTTTCCAAATTTCATTCCTACATTTTTTAAATTAGAGTACAGATACTCTTCAATTTACAATGAAGTAACACGCCAATAACCCATCATAAGTTGAAAATCTCTAGTAAGATGAAAATTCTTCTAATATACCTAACCTACCAAATATCATAGCTTAGCAACACATTACAATGTAGAATATTAGTTGTTTGCCCTGGTGATCCTGTGGCTGACTGGAAGCTGTAGCTTCCTGTTATTGCCCAATGTCACATGAGTGCTATACCATTATCATCCAACCAGAGAGAGATCAAAATTCAGAATGTAAAGAATGGTTTCCACTGAATGCTTATTGCTCTTGCATCCTCTAAAATTTTTAAAAAATCTTAAGTTGAATCACCGTAAGTCAGGGAACATCTGCATTCCCATTTCGAAAACAAAGATTCTATTTCAAAAATGAATGTAGGTCAAATAGATAACCTAAATGCCTGTATTATTAAAGACATTAGATAAATATAGTTAATAACGGAAAGTACTAGGCCCAGATGGGTTTACTAGTGAACTGTACCAAACATTTAAGGAAGAAATTATACCAATATACCAATTATACCAATTCTCCATATCTTCCAAAAGACAGAAGCAGAGGAAATGATATCTAATTCATTTCATGAGTCCAACATACCTTAATACCCAAACCAAAGACATTACAAGAAACTACAGGCCAATGTCTCTCAACAAATTCTCAACAAAATATTGGCAAACTAAATCCAACAATATATAAGAAAAATTAAACACATGAGATTTATTACAGATATACAAGTCCAATTTGACCCTCAAAAATCAATTAACATCTCATCAATAGGCTAAAGAATTTAAAAAATCACATAATGATATCAAGAGATGCAGGGAAAGCATTTCACAAATGCAATAGCCATTCATGAGAAAAATTCTCAGCCAACTAAGAATATAGAGGGACTTCTTCCTCAACTAGATAAAAAACATCAAGTTCAAATCCAGTCTCAGCAATAGCGAGGCACTAAGCAACTCAGTGAGACCCTATCTCTAAATAAAATACAAAATAGGGCTGGGGATGTGGTTCAGTGGTCAAGTGCCCCTGAGTTCAATCCCTGGTACCCTTCCCCACCACCAAAAAACAAAACAAAACAAAACAAAACAAAAAACCTTACAGATAACACCATATTTAACAGTAAGAAACTTGAGGCTTTCCCACTAAAACCAGGAACAAGATAAGATGTCTCCTCCGACCACTATTTTTCAACACATACTAGAAATCCTAGCTCACGTAATAGGGAAAGAAAAGGAAATAGAAAGAATAGAGATTAGGAAGGAAGAAATAAAACTATCTTTGCTTACAGATGACACAATTATCTATGTAAAAAATCTGAACAACAAACCCTGAACAAGTGATTACAGAATAAGGTTGCAGGATACAAGGTTAATATACCAAAACTGATTGTATTCCATCATCAACAATGAACAGTGGCATCTTAAATAAAATACCCCATATCATTTATATAGCACTCCAAAAATGAAATACTCAAGTATAAAACTGATAAAATATATGCCAGACCTATGCCAGAAAAATTACAGAGCTATAATAAAAAGAAACCAAAGATCTAAATAAACAAATGGCTTAAATCCAGAAAACTAACACCACCAAATATTTGCAAGAATTGGAAGCAATAGGAACTCTCATATGTTGCTGATGGGAATGCAAAATCATATAGCCAATTTGGAAGACACACTCTAGCAAGTGTGCACTTTGATATATACCCCAAATTGGAAACTTACATCCACACAAAATGTGCAAATGGATGTTCATAGAAGTTTTACTCACAATTGTCAAAACTGGAAGCAACCAAAACATCCTTCAATACGTGAGTGGATAAACTGTGGCACATCCAGACAATGAAATACCGCTGTTATTATTACAGAGAACCAGAAAGAAATGAAGTTATCATTATCAAGTCATGAAAAGACATGGAGTAACCTTAAGTGCAAATTATTAACTGAAAGAAGCCAATCTGAAAAGGCTACATACTGTATGATTCCAACAATATGACTTTTTGGAAAAGGAATAACTATGGAAACCATAAAAAGATCAATGGTTGGGGGAAAAGAGGGATGAACAGGCACAGGGGATTTGCGGGGCACCAAAACTATTCTGTACAATACTATACATTATCAAAGCCCACAGAACATACAACACCAAGAGTGAAACGTAACAGAGATTGTAAACTTTGGATAATAATAACTTATCAATGTAGGCTGGTTGATTATAACAAATGTACCACTCTGGAGCAGGATATGCAGACAGCAAGGAAGGCTCTGCAAGTATGGGGACAGAGATTGTATCAAAACTTTGTAATTTCTGTTCAGTTTTGCTATAAACCCAAAAGTGCCTACCAAAATTAAGTGTATTTAAAATGTGTCTGTGTGTGCGCAAAAGTCAAATAAACAAAAATCCAAATTTTAGACTTACATTTATAGTGTTTGAATACTTATTTTTAAAGCTACAAATGCATGGATAATTTCTTTTCTAGGCTTTCTGAAGTACCTAACACTCAACACGCTTAGGGAACAGGCAAACATATGAGGAAAATGACATCACTGTGTGATTCTGACCATTCAAATTTGAGCTTAAAGATCCTAACACATAACACATTCTAATTTTTCTGACACAAATATAAAAATCATGTTAATCTTGAGGCTAAAGAAATCAACAATCTATTTCTATTACGAGCAGGAAGACAAAAAATCCTATACTTCAATTATTAGAGCTTTATCCATATGAAATACAAACTTACATATACACACATACAAAAACTTAAAAGTACATTACTTCTGAAAAATATTTGCTATTTTATAGAACCAGGTTCCAATTATAAGAGGTTCTAAGCACTGTTTACCCACACACAAATTATCAAGGAGTCAGCTTTTGGTTTTCAATGTATCACAACTGCTTTTGACATAGCACTCTGAGAAATACTGAAGCTTTCACTTCTCCTATCATTGAGCTATAAGTCAACTTAAAGATTAAGAGCATGGATTTCATAAACTGAATGACAGCTCTATCATTTCCTAGCTGTGTGATCTTAGATTACACACACTATTAAATCTAACTTCTTCAACTTGTAAAATTAGGATAACTCATGAATTTGCTTGGAGGATAAAATAAGATAGTACAGATCTTAGCAAATATTATTACTTATTATTAAACTAATATGCTTTTTACTACATATTGCACCATATTATCACATCATTAACAACACTGGATTAGTAAACGAGACTTAACTACTAATCTTAAAAAAAAAAATGACAGAATCAAATAATTCACAAGCCTAAAAACCGCTCTCCATATTTAAAAGTCAAAGTTTTACTTCTAAAGTAAAATTTGTTAAAAATCATAATAAACCACTTACTGATATCAATCCTCTGCTCAACAGGTAAAGGACTGATTCGGCTGACAAGTTTCGAAAGACATGTTGCTGCAAGGAGCTGAGCATAGGATGTCTGTGAAGAATAATTTTTTTTATTATCATCACAAATAAAATTAGAATAATCAAAATATTACAGGTAGTTTTTCTAAGCAAAAGTGAGAAGTTTTGTTTTTCCAAATTGATAGATTTACAACGTATAAAATGAATCTACTTCAGATACATGTATACAGATATATATCTTATTATCAGTGTATATGTCATGTCAGAATAAGGCAAAAATGAACTTCAAATGTCTAACTTTTAAGGCACAGTACTAAATTAGAAGTCAAAGCAAGGTGCTTTTTTTTTTTTTTTGCCATGATGCTACTATATCTTTCCTAAAAGAATATGTGTTAATAATATCAAACTAAACACTAATCACCAAATTCCCAAATCACACACAAAAATATCAATCATCAGAAAAATTAAATCCACTATCTCAAAACAGAATTTCCTTACAAAAATGAAAAAATGAGGTTGCACAAAATTTAAGTTTCCAAGTGGCTCATCGTTAACCAGGCAAGGAAAGCCACTTAACAATGAGGAATTAATTAAATCACCATTGTTTTATTGTAGCAGCCTAAGTTATGTGTGCAGAGAAAATAAACCTTACTAGCCTTTTGGTGAGAACAAATGTTCAAAAATTGAAGACATGAAGCAACAACAAGTCAATTTAAAAGCAAGACAAATGATTTGGAAAGATTATTCCTAGCTCTCAATGAGTGAACAGATGTTACCAATACTGTTCATATTGTTAATATTACCAAAACTTTCTCCCTGTTTATTCTAGAAATCAACACTAAGTATGATACAGCAAGAATTAGCCTCTCTGAAGAGTCTGTGTGGAATTATAGGTCAGAATATTTTCAAGACAGTTGAAGAAACATTAATTCAATATAATTATTGTGAGACACTGGTGGTAAAAATATGGAGCAGAAGGGCTTAGTTGGGCAAATTTTAAAAGCTTGTAAAAAATGTAAAATGTTTAAGCCAGACATGGTGGTGCATGCCCATAATCCAGCGACCTGAGATGATGAGACAGGAAGATCACCAGGAGCTTAGCAAGACCCTGTCTCAGAATGAATGGGCTAGAGGTGTAGCTCAGTGGTATAAGGTCCTGAGTTCAATCCCCATTACTGGTGCGCGGCGAGAGTAATATGTTTCAAGCTTATAGTTTCATTAGCAGATATGCTATGGTAAACATTTGAGTCTATCATGCATTAATGAATCAGAGGTGCTAACAAAGTTTATTTACTCCTATGAACTTATCTTCAGTTCTGGAAAATTCTGTCAGAATCAGAAGCTCTGAATATCTGTCCCACTTCCCAGTACTTTGGTCACTTATCAGTAGTAAAGTTGTACTGCAATTTTTTTAAACTTGGGGCTGAGAATGAAATTCTTCTGGATAAGATGACCAAGCCTCTATTATTCAACACTGAATGGCTTTGGAAATTATCTTTTTCTGCAAACTTGAAAATGTCTCGTAATGAATTCAACCTAAAATTCCAAAACTACCTAAAAGACAAACAGTACTTAGTACTTATATACAGAATGACTACAATGACTAACGACGCCATAAAATCATTCAATAACAACACTGACTCACAAGAAATGACAAGCTGCTCTAGACATTTCCTACACTTCTGAAAGTTAAAAACAAGTAGTGAGATCTCTATTTTCAGATTCATTTTCTAAGTGCCAACTGCAGTTCCAACACCACAGTTCAGACCTTGATGCAAATAAAAAGAAAATTTCCATATTTCAAAATCCATTTAGCTGTGCAATTGAGGAGTTTCCACCTAATCTTCAATTGGAAGTGATTAATCTGCAATGTAATGACATGCTAAAAGGCAAATATCAAGAGAAGATATAATAGAATTCTATAAATACCTTCTAAGTGATGAATATATTTAATTAAAATCATATGCCCATGGACTGATTTTAGTATTTGGCAGTACCTATCTATGTTAAAAGATATTTCCAAAGATGAAAAATGTAAAATTTTTTTTTTTTTTAAAGAGAGAGTGAGAGAGGGGGACAGAGAGAGAGAGACAATTTTAACATTTATTTATTTTTTCTTAGTTCTCGGCGGACACATCTTTGTTGGTATGTGGTGCTGCTGAGGATCGAACCCGGGTCACACATATGCCAGGCGAGCGCGCTACCGCTTGAGCCACATCCCAGCCCCAGAAAAATGTAAAATTTTATTACGGATCAGCTTTAACATATGAACACTTATATCAATGCTGATAACAGGAAACACAACTCTGAAATTCATTAATAGTCCTAAAAGAACTGTCCTATTGTTTTCTATTAATAGACCTCTATTACAAAAAACTACATTCAATTATTTTGAATTTTACCAATAAACCTTTGAGGACATTTGTTTTCTCTATTGTTATAGAAATACTCATAAAATATCTTCCATTTTGCCTCTTGGCTCACAAAGCCTAAAACATTTACTTGATGGCTCTTTTCAGAAAAAGTTGTCCAATGCCAAATGTCTTCTTTGATATAAAGAGAGCAACTAAGAATAGAGCAGGGAGGAAGAGCAGGAGGAAAAGATTAACATTAAACAGAGACATGAGGTGGGAGGGAAAGGGAGAGAAAAGGGAAATTGCATGGAAATGGAAGGAGACCCTCTATGTTATATAAAATTACATATAAGAGGTTGTGAGGGAAATGGGGGAAAAAAAAAAAGAAAAAAAAGAAATAAAAGAAAAGGGGGAAAAAAAAAAAAAAAGGGAAGGGAGGGGAGGGGGGATAGTAGAGGGTAGGAAAGGTAGCAAAATACAACAGTTACTAATATGGCATTATGTAAAAATGTGGATGTGTAACCGATGTGATTCTGCAATCTTTGTAATGTTTTGAACAATCAATAAAATAAAATAAATAAATAAAAAGAAAAAGTTGTCCAATTCTGGTCTGTATCATGAGGCCTCTGACTCCAGTGCTCATCATATCATTTCACAGTTCTTTGTCTATAGACCTATGCTTTACAACTAAACAATGCCCTCTTTTAGTTCATGTACATAAACCATTTAAGCAGTAGAGAGCATGATTTTATATGTAAGCACTTGCTAAACAATTTCTGAAAGAATAGCTCTGAATATCTAGAAAGTAGAATATCAAGAAGTAGCCAGCATTCTTTTGAATAATTCTTTCATGTTTCAAAGTTAACTACAACCTGCCTCTACCAACTAGATTAAAAAAATGGTCAAAAAAAAAAAAAGTTGTTCTAAAATGTAATTTTTTTCCCACTAAAATGAGACATAAAAGGATCCAAGGTGGGGTTGGGGTTGTGGCTCACCTAGGGAAGTGCTCGTCTAGGGAAGGTAAGGTAAGGCACTAGGTTTGATCCTCAGCACCACATAAAAATAAATAAATAAATAAATAAATAAGGACACAATACCTAAAACTAAAAGAAATATTAAGGGCTGGGGTTGTGGCTCAGTGGCAGAGTGCTTGCCTTGCATATGTGAGGCACTGGGTTCAATCCTCAGCACCACATAAAAATAAATAAACAAAATAAAGACATTGTGCTCATGTATGACTGAAAAAAAATGTTTAAAAAAAAGAAATATTAAAAAAAAAAGGTCCAAGAGGAATCAAGAAATTATTTCAATTCATTCCTATTCTGCCTCCTGACTATTCCCTAAATTTGCTTCCCTGGCTTTCCAATTCTTTCCCTGATTAATCTCTTTGACAATGAAATAAACTATAATAAAAAGATGTGGCAACATCTGTCATTGCTAATACACACAAATTGATTAACACTGACATACATTCAGTGATCTCTCATGGTTAATTGTTGTTATCAAATACTTACTGTTCCTTGTTCTAATAAAAGTTGACACTTGCTGAGACATTCTGGGCTGTCAATAAGTTCCAAGAGTGCTTTCTCAGCCTCTATTCTTTGTGTAAGATCAGTCCCTATGTAGAGGTGAGTACATAATGCCTCCAATTCGGCCAAACTCTTGAGAAGAAAAGCAAATTAACATTTTATGTGAATGAAAAAAGGTAAACACATTAATCACAGAAGACAATACAAATATCATGCCTGTATACATTAATCCAATACACATGTGCTGAGCTACAAGCTACTTTCCAGGGGAAACCACAACAAACAAAACAGGCACATCTCCTACTCCTCCAATTACCGATAAATTAATAGTTATGCAATAACTGTAGTATAGAAAAGGGAAGACTTGCCTGATCCAAGGAGTTAGAAAAATAACGTACACCAAGACCAAAAAGAGTGAGCCTGATGGGGGAAAAAAGACTAGAAAGGCCTTCTGTCTACTTACCACTAGAAAGGTGGATGGCAAGAAGACAAAAGGAAATGCCAGATGAGGCCAGAGGTTTGGGAGTAGGGGGAAGATCATGTACAAATTTAAGATAATTCAATTTATATTTTCATGTTGTAAAAATTTCAATGGTTCCACCTATTTAAAAAAAGTAACAGTAATTATAAATATATGCTGATTTGGGGCTTCTGAACTGACTTGAAAGCTACAAGTGAACTATGATGTGATTTTTTTGACCCCTTGGCATTTCTCACAATTTAACAACTAATGTATTTTATAAGCAAAAAGACTAATTCATTCTGTTTACAAATATAATCTCATCTGAAGATAGAAAACAAATAATCTGAAAGAAGAATGGAAAAATGAGCTGGGCATTCCTCTCAGCTTAAAAGATTTTTGTGAAAATCATCTTTCTAAAACAAGCTACTTCACTAGAAACTTGAATCAGAAAATTGTCCTTGGAGGACAAAAATACTGACATAGATTTCAGTGATGGATAGGCAAATAAGTTAGAGGACATTTCTAAAGAAATGACAATTTTGGTCTTTCCTGGTTTGAATTTTTGAGGAAGCATAAGAGCTACACCAGACCATACATTCCCTCAAGTGCGACATCTTTTTATGATAGGAATATACAGCTGTCACTGAAACGGAGTCCCCTGGAGCTCAATGTTCCTCCCACTCCTCTCTTCTGCTGGGCTCCTTCACGGCATTCTCTACTTCCCTAACAGGCCAGAGCCCAGCATCCTAGATTTGAGACTCTTCTGCTAGAGTGAAAAGGAAAGTCCAAAAGTAACGTTTTAAATAGATCCCCAGAAAGGACCTCAATGAACCACTTTTAAACATTTCCCAACCTCAACTGACCCGAAAAACTCAGATTACTACATATATTATTCAAAATATTAAAATGCACAGAAAATATATAATTCAAAAATACTAAGAATTCTCTTCTTCTCCAGGAAGAAATACAGAAATGAAAAGGACTACTTTTCTTTCCCCTGTCAACCTCAGAAGTCTTTTCCTTCACCTAATATATGAAGGACAAAAATTTTAAAACTGATAATACCCAGAATACCCAGAATAAATCAACACTAAATTGATCCTGCTGTCATGCATTCACCTAGACTTAAGATTTTTTAAACAAGTAGACTTTCACTGCAAAAAAGAACTAGGTCCGAAATAATTACAGGACCTGTTTAACAAAACAAAAAGGAAAAAAAAAAAAAGGAAGAAGAATCTGGCAAGGTGGCACTTGCCTATAATCCCAGTCACTTGGGAGATCAAGGCAGGGGGATCCTAAATTCAAGGCCAGCCTGGGCAACTTTGCAAGACTTTGTCTCAAAATAAAAAATAAAAAGTGCTGGGGGTGGAGCTCAGTGCCCCTGGGTTCAATTCCCAATACAAAACAAAAAAACAAACAAAAATCCTAACAATATCAGTGCCTACTTAATGAGGTTTGTTTGGGGAATTAGTTCATGCCATGTACCTTCTAGCTCGAAGTATATATTATAAAGGCTAGTTTTGATTATTACCTGAAAATAATACTGTAATCAGTTGAATTATATCCCCCTAAGGCAGGTCCAAGCCCTAACCCTCCCACAACACCTAAGGTTTCCTAGAACTATGTGACCTTACTTGCAAACAGGGCCTTCATAAAGCCTTACTTGAGTTAAGGATCTCGGGAAGATATTATCCTGGATTTAGAGTGGGCCCTAAACCCAATTATTGGTGTCATCATTTATAAGAAAAGGAAAGGCAGACTTGAGGTGTAGAGCAATAGAGGGCAGAGGGCCATGAGAGGATGGAGGCAAACCAAGGACTGCCAAGGACTCAACAGCCACACAAGCTAGAGGGGGCATGATAGGGCTTCTCCTCAGGGACTTCCAGAAAGAACTGCCTTCCACCTTCAGAACTATCAGAGAATAAATTTGTGTTGTTCTAAGTCACCTAGTCGATGGTGATTTGTTACAAGAACCCTAAAGAACAAACAAACGAAGAAAAAAAACTAATACAAATATTAATATTAATCAAGTGGGAAAAGTCAAGGGTTCTTTCATTATAATGGTAACATACATATGCCTTGCAGATTAAACTTTTTTAAGGAAGAATAAAAAATACATTCATAAGGACCCTTACCCTGATGGAAAGGCATTGTCCCACTACCAATTTATCAGACAATCATCTCATTAGCATTTGATTTTCCAGAGAATCTATAAGGAAATTTTATTTTTCACAGTAGATAAATCTGCATCTTAGTTTTATTATGTATTGATATCTGAGAATATGAGAATGCCTCAGAAAATGAATCCATTCCCACTGTGTAGACAATCTGATTTGGGTTATTAAAGCTGCCATACAAGGCTTAAATCAACCATAGAAGTTCATCTAAATAATAAGTCCAACAAGGAGAACTGGGTATCATGTACCTCCCATAAAGAATTTTCACTCTCTAGTAGACAATGATGTAATCCTACTGCCAATCTAAATCAAGATCTTCCTAAGTATTCTGGTCCTACTTGACATATAATTGGCTCTCAACTGGCCTTTCTACTCAGCAATTCTCAAACATGTATCTATCAACAGGTGAATGCTGAGTAAAAAGCCAGGCAAAAAGTATCTATTGTGCCAGGCACAGTGGCACACACCTGTAATCCCAGTAGCTTGGGAGGCTGAGGCAGGAGGATTGCAAGTTCAAACCCAGCCTCAGCAAAAGGGAGGTGCTAAGCAACTCAGTGAGACTCCATCTCTAAATAACAAACAAAACAGGGCTGGGGATGTGGCTCAGTGGGTGAGTGCCCCAAGTTCGAACCCTGGTACCAAAAAAAGTATATATTGTAACAGGAAACAGCTAGGTATAGGAGTAGTACAGGAAAGAGGAGGAAGCCAGGAGGGATGACAAACAGGCACAAGAGCACAAGGAAACTTTTGGAGGTGATGGGTATTTTCATTTTCTTGATGTCAGTAATGGCATCATACATATGCCAAAATGCATTTAGTTGCACAATTGATGTATATGCATTTCATGACTCAGTTATCCTTCAACAAAGTTAAAAGAAAAAAGAAAAAAATGTTTCCAGGAAAAAAATTCCCTAAGAATAAAATTAAATCACAAAAAATCCACTTCAATTAAATTTAAAGCTCTTTTCAATTACTTCCCTATATTTTTCCTGGTTTCTGAATTAAGCTTCTTGGTTCCCATTCATAGAAACTCCTTCATTTTAAAAGTTACTCGTTTCCCACAAACTGTTTCCTAAGTATCCCGGAAGGCTTGATCCTCAGCCTCTTGGAGCTCTTCAATGATGAATTAGATTACACTTGTTCAAGAGCTTTAGAGTTTATAGAATATATTCCCACCTTTTTCCCAAACCAATCCTAAAAACACTCTTGCAAAGTACATATTTTCAGTATGCTCATTTTACAGATGAAAACACTGAAGCTGACAGATCAGGTACATGGTCAATTCTAAGAAAAATGCAGGTCTACAGGCTCTGAGCACATGCTGTCTCACAATCTGCCACCTGGCCAACCTTTACTCAGCTATCATCTACCTCCAGGTGATGTCCTAACCCTACCTGTAGCCTGGTCTGTTAACCATCTTAATATTTGTCTACAAATGTCTTACTTTTGGAAATCCAGAAAGATGTTAAAAATAAACCTCAAATATCAGAAACTGAATTGAGCATGTTTCCCACAGATTTCAAGTGTCCCTTTGATTTCAAAGGTCTAGACCAGGATCTAGATTTATATGTTTGATGTTATCTTCAGCTTTTCCCTCTTCTTAGGATTTTGCCCTCAACTCCTGGAGGTAATCTATGTCTTCCACAACAGGAGCACATTTGCTTAAGCCAGGGGCTGATAGTCATAGGTTGGAGGTAGGCCTGTTTTAGGGTGGTGACTGAGGGTTATAAGGTATCACTGTAACTAGAGACTGAGTCCAACCACATAGGTAGTCGTCCAGCCATGCCAAAGTCATGAAGCCCCAAAAAAACTCTGGGTCCCAAAGCTGGCAACAGCATTCTGGCTTGCAACACTTAGTGGTACATACAGCCACACATTGAGTAGCATGTCCTGAGGACAACAGAGGCTGTTTTAGAACTTTCCCAGACTGTCCTATGTGTCTCGTTCCTTGAACAAATTTTAATGTGCATCCTCTCCTTATAATAAACTACGACTATAAGTATTTTGTAAGTCCTGACAAATTGGGGAACCTGAGGTGGTACGGGAAACCACTGAACTTGGAGACTGTGCCATCAAACCATAGTCTGGCAAACTCTAGAAACAAAACTCATCAAGCTCTACCAGTTCTTTTTCTACAAAGACTCAGACCCAGAACCTTCATATGATAATCAGACAGTAGAGCAATCAAACAATATTTTCTAACCGTGGCCTCCATGCCCTGGATTTCTTCAAAGGCTGCTCTAGGAATGAGAATGGAGGGTTGTGGGTCTTAGACGCATCACGGTTAGATCTGAAAAATAGAATTTGGTACTCACTAAGTTACCTTAAGAAATTTATTTAACCTTTCTAAGCCTCCCTGTTGAAACTGCAGATAAAAAGCCCCCCTTTCCAAAATAATTATGAGACTAACAAAGAAAAGATAGGGGAAAGGCTAATAATAGTGCCTGCAACAAATCAGATCCACAATGAATGATCATCATTCTCTTTAGCTACTGACAGTTCTCGATCACATCCAGATTAAAGCAGGTGGCCTGACTGGATGATTAAGAAGCATGACTATTGTCTCTGGATCTGAAACCATACTAAGAGTAAAAAAGCTCAGTGGAGTCCTTACATCTTTTCTTACATATCTCTTTAGTTTCATCAAAATCTCCCAATCCTCAAGAGTGCCTCCAGCTTGCCTGTTCCCAGTTCTCCTTCCTCACTCTGCTCCTCTATCTGGACTGCTTCCTCAAAGATGATCTAAATCCTTTACTTCTTTGGGGACATAGAACTATAATTTATAGCTTTCTAACCAAAATGCATGTGCACTGAATGGGTTATAGAAATAATATGATGCCCCTCCCCAGGCAGCCAGGGAAGGGCTGGGGATAGTGAGGAAACTCCACAGATAGCCTTTGGCTGTTAACAGTTTATGTTAATCAGATACACAATTACCATGATGTGAAAAAGACTATGGCATAAAATTTAAGTAGTACCCATTGGCAGGTGATGATAAGGTATAAACTGCCTCAAGGAATAAAAATATATATATGCACATCTCTTAAGGAATAAAGTGTATACATGTACTCTCTTAATGGTGGTATTCAACTCTAAAAAGGGCACGTGAAAATCAAAACGCTAAGTACTGGTTATCAGTACTAACAAATACTCTGAATTAACTGGTTAATAATATGAAACAATGCACTAAAAGAATTCAAACTGAGAAATGGGAAGCCCCTCTTCCCAAAAAAAACAAAAACTATGATGTCTTATTTGTCCAACTCCACTTTTTCAATTTTTTTTTTTTTTAGTTTTAGATGGACACAATACCTTTATTTTATTTACTTATTTATATGTGGTGCTCAGGATGGAAGCTGGTGCCTCAAATGTGCTAGGCAAGTTCTACCACTGAATTACAACCTCAGCCACTACAACTCCACTTTTAAGTGTCCACAGCACCCTAAAGTACATTCCTGGGAAAACAATATGAAGAGTTCTGACATCAGCATGTAATTTTTCCAACACTTTACACCTAAGTATGAAGAAGTATTCCAGGACTTGGTGATTTACTCTGCATCATCTTTCAAAGTCCAAAAAAGTTCCACAATACTTTTAATTTATCTCAAGATTTACATCTGCACTATGAACATCTGATTATCTATTTACAATCCATAAATCCTCTCTGTGAGATTCTTCCTGTGAAAATTTCCCAGAGGCCATATTTACTAAAGTGGTAATAAATATGTTATTTTGACCTGGGGACCCTTTGAAATGGCAAGAAGTCAAAAGGTAATGTGTGGGGTTCACTATCTCTTGGTCCATAAAGTCCTGGAGCTGTCAATTACCTGACAGAGTGGCTAGTTGAAAAGAAAACACCCTTTGGAAGAATCAATAAATAAGGAAGTAATAAGTCAGTGTGACCACAGGGGACCCAAAGAAGTCTACAATAGGAATGTGATACTTAGATACACTGTCACCACATTAAGAAACTGCCTACCTCTCCAAGGTCATCTCCTGCCTTCTCCAGCCTCCCCTGGTCTCTTCCCTTTCATATGAACCTTGTGCTCCAGCCAGAATGAGTTTCTGCGATACACCACGGTCTTCCACAATTTTTTGCTTTGGCACATACTGTACTTTTGTCTCTACAGCTTTCCTTTCTTTACCAGGCCACCATCTAATTTGTTTCAAGGCCCGCTAGACTGCAAGTTTCCTGAGAGGGGAACTCATATGAAGTGTGCTCAAAGCTGTATGGTCAATACTCAATAACCAACTAAGGAGAGGATGCGTGGAGGCTCAAGCATCTCCTCCGAGAAGTACAGTAGCTGCACTTCACAGCCTCCCAATACACACCCACACATCCCCTTTTCGGTGCTCCCTGCTCCCCCGTGACTAATTCTACCACAACATTTTTCACGTGTGCTGTAATTACCTGCAAGCTCTAGGAGGGCACCGATAGTATGATGTCACCCTTTATCCCCACACTTGGCACAGTGCTTGAGGCACAGTAGGGCCGCTCGAAGGGTGCTGCTGACTGAGTAACTGAACCGCCGCGTCAGGGGCGCCCGAAGCTGCGAGGGCCGTGCCCCGCAGCGCGCGTCCCAGCGCGGCAGCTCTGCCGGCGCCCGGCCCCCGGC